TGTTGGCGCATGAAGTTCACCAGGACCTTGTGCCAGAAGCCTGGGAAGGAAGCTGCCTCTTTCTTGGGTGCCAGGCAAGCATTTTGCTGTCACCCAGACGTGAGCTTTCCCCCTATTCGGGAATTGTTAGTCTTTCTGATGGACTGTGAACAAATGTCACCCCTTAAGCCCCAACACAAACAACGGACCCAGGATGATCTGAATCAAACTCTTTGAAGTCAGAGCAACGTTCGCCTGTGGCTCTCTGTGCTTTTGTGATGACAGATGGCAGAACCTGTCTGCCTAGCCCAGGGAGTGGCCCCGGGGACGCAGCCTTGGCTCAGGACACAGAGAGTGGCTTCAGAGTCAGTCAGATTTGATTATGAGTCTTGACCAAACTGCTTCCTAGCTGTGTGACCTAGAACAGAAAGAGTCTGGGATGGCCGGGTTCATAACACCTTCAGTGGCCAGAAATACTGGATGGGTGTCCATGGGTGCCTGACTTGCACTGAGCCAGAAAGACATGGGTGTCCCTAGGACGTCCAGTCTTTTCCTCACAGACTTCTCAGAGGCTTCGTGCCCGCCCAGCCGCCCTCTGGCATAGCAGCCCTCCTTCTGCCTCTCTCCCCTCGGCCTCCTTGACTCATTTTCCCAGGTGCCTAATCACAAAGATCTCCCATGCTGTTGAAGCAGGCACCTGATACCCTTGGCTCTTTGACCTTGGGAGAGGTGACCCAAAATCCCCTGACAGGCAGGAGGACCCCAACAGCAGCCGTGACTTGGGGACAAAAGCACCTGGGGCTGAACATGGAAGGTCCCGCTGGAACTCCTCAGTGGTGTCAGATGTAGCACAGCCTGTGACCCCAGAACAAGATCCCTTTCCCAGGTGTGGCAGGCAGTGGTAATGCAGGGCGGTGGCCAGGAGCCTCTCTGAGGCACAGCAGGCCACTCTGGTCTGGCAAGCGCTCCTCCCAGTAAAGCTGATGGCAGCGCCAAGGAGCCTCCTGAGGATAGAACTCACCTCTTGGCTTCTAAACTGCAGAGCGGCCAAAGCAAGGCTCGGGAAACCAGCCTGGACTCTGCCCGCTGCAGCAAGAACTCTGCTTTCAGGGTGTCTGCTGTTGTTTTGGATTCACGGTGCTGGGCATGGGATAGAGAGAGGCAGGGGCCCGACCTCTGAACCAGCCCCCAGTTCTTTCTGTCTGGTTTCATTTCACTGTTTGTCTTGGAGTTCATGGAAACTCGGTTCGGCTGAGAATGAGAAGCCAGGACCCTGGCCTCAGCCAGGCCCAGGGAGCACTCTGGTACTGGAGCAGAGATGTCCTCCTCCAGTTGCGGGAGGCTGGTCTCTCGTGGTGAGGACCAGAGAGCTGGGCTACTGAAACCTCAGCTCCTCTAGGGAATGTGATAAGATCACCTCCCAGGCCCCAGTGGCAATCACCTCCATTCTTGTTACTGGGATATCATTTGCATGAGAACTAGTTGTGGGTATCCTGTGACTCCTGAGTTAGACCTTAGGAATCCTTGCCTGCAGGTGCCTGCCTGGATCTGGAGGACCCCTCATTGATGGATATATGGGCTCAACATTTAAACCCGCTAGGTGTGCATTTTCCCAGTCTACACATATTTAAGGGCCGGTTACATTCTTGGCACAGTGTGCTGGCAGCCAGGCATTATAGCAAAGCAGACCAAAGCCGCCTTTCTCCAAGTTGAGACTCAAATGCCGGGGACCAGGGAGCCAAGTAGAGTCAAAATGAGACTGTCACAGACTGAAGTGGCGGCATCCATCCATGGGGAGGAATGTAACTGAGCAGAGGCTGAGGTTCCGACTGTCACATCGGAGTGGCCTTTGACCTTCCTCTTGGGTGTGACCTTTAGTGACTTTGCTATGGTGCTCATCCACCCCTCATGTGGTAGCATGGATGTGTTTCCATTTTCTTCTCTGGAGTCCTGGTTAGAGCATGGAAAGACTGGGGATCAGTGTGGCCTGTGGATTGTCAATTCTGTAAGCCCAGTGTAGTTCTATAGCGTTTTGACTCTGCGTGTGTGTGTGTGTGTGTGTGTGTGTGTGTGTGTGTGTGTGTGTGTGTGTGTCTGTGTCTGTGTCTGTGTATCTCTGTGTGTGTGTGTCTGCATATCTGTGTGTGTCTGTGTCTGTGTATCTGTGTGTGTATGTGTGTGTGTTGTATGCGCACACACGTGCAGCTGTACATGCCCATGTATGTGGTATGAAGGCCGGAGGAGGACAGTAGGTTCCACCCTATCACTGTCCACCTTATTCTCTTGACGCAGTGTCTCCTTGAGCTAGGCTTGCAGTCAACAAGTCCCAGTGATACTGCAGTCTCCACTCTCCAGGTCCTAGAGCTACAGGCAAGCATGGCAGTGCCTGGCTTTTTACCTGGGTCCTGGAAATTTGAACTCGGGTCATCATGCTTATACAGCACTTTAATAACTGAGCCATCTCCCCAGCCCCCATTGTCTTCTTGTGGTACCCCTTTTTATATACGCACACCTCAAGCTCCCAACCCCAAAACAGGTGTGTCACCATGGCTACCTCAGAATCAAAATGCCCATGGATTCCTTAGAATGTTCTGTCTCTAGTTTTCATAGGCGGATCCACAACTGAAGGCTTTAGATGAACCCCCCCTTCCTTCTGCTAACAATGCAGTCTAAAAACCTAGACAAAGCGTCATCCCTGTGTTGCCAGGATGCCTCAGATGTGAACAGTGATGGGCAGGTCCAGCTCTGGGGTCTAGAGAGCAGCCTGTCAGAGCCAAACACCCCTCTCTGCCCCCACCCCAGGTCGCTGCTTGTTAAGGACATGCTGAAGGCTATGTAGCCCAAATCGTCTAAGCATAAAATTAGCTTCTGTGTCTATTCTGCAAGGGAAAGCAAACTGAGCTAAATATACCACGGGGCCATGAGTAGCCAACAAGCCAGATGGGAGACAAACAGCAGGCCGGTGGGAACCTGATTTTCCCCGGGGGCCTGTGGGTTGGAGACTGTGGGTTCTGAAGGCTGCTGCCACTGTTGGGCTTACAGCGCTGCTAGGGTGTGGCCCAGATGGTTGAGTGCTTGCCCAGCATGTGTGAGGCCTTCCAGTCCCAGCAGCACATAAACCAGATGTGGTGCTACACACCTGTTATACCAGCACTTGGGAGGAGGAGGAGGAGGAGAGGAGGGTGAGGAGGAGGAGGAGGAGGAGTTCAACGTCATCCTGGGCTATATAATAAATAGGAGGCCAGAGTGGGCTATGTGCGATCTTGTCTCAGAAAACAACAAGCATCTTGCATGTATGACAGGCTGGCCCCCTCTGTTCCTGCTGCAGCTGTCTGTGCTCTGTTTACCATGAACACACACACACTCATGCCTTTCACATCCCTGTGCTCATAAGGCACACAGCATGTGCTCATGTGCCACCTGACATGTAAACACGCATGTGTATTCACACACACATACACCCCTGATCATGCATTTGCGCATTCAAACACATGCATGTGTGCATGTGCATGTGTGTACATAGCTATGCACACACGTCTGTGCCGGTGCACACACTGTGAATTCTGTATGTGGCCATGTCGCACCAATGAAACGTCCCTTTTTGAAGCTTCCAGAAGGCCCGGCCTGAGCTAGGACCCCTGCTGCCCAGCTCCACAGGTCACATTCTTTCCTCTGTCTCTTGTCATTCCTTGTCTCTACTTCTGGAATGTCCTCATCTTCCTTCTCCGAGGCACCTGCGTGTCCCCCACGCAGCTGCCAGGTAGTCAGATGCACCAGAGATACTTCCTGGGTGGAAGGCGCAGACTCCAAGCTGAGAGAGGATGTTGTCCCAGATATTTTTAGAGTGGTTTTTAACGAAGTGGAGAGTTTCAGATGAAGGTGAAAGTTTAACAAGAAAACATCTCCGAGGCATCGTGTTTCCCACTCCCTGATCAGCTGTGCTTTTAGAACGGTTGGAAAGAATGCAGAGTTGAAAACAGAGCCTGTCCATCGAAGCGCCGACTGGGTGACCCCGCTTGGCAACGTTTCCTGCCCACAACCCGCCTCCCTGACTGAAGGGTGGGCAGACTGGAGCCTTGCCCTCACCTCCTCCATGATCTCCAAATCTATCCCAAGCTACAGCTCAGATGCCTTGCCTCCAGGCTCCCTCAGCCACTGATGGCTCTGGAATCCCAGCTCCCATGAGCTGGGTCTTTGAGTTGCTTCACTGGAAGAAGTACCTGCTTGTTTGGCTGTTTGGTTTTGGGTTCTCTGGACGCAGAAGAGGAGGAATGTACAGACTTCTGCCTCCCTTCTGGGCAATCCTACACTCTCCATCCATTTCACTGGACATGAACACACTCAGTTGAGACTCTGCTTGTGGCGGGCTGAGAGTCAGTGAAGAGGCCAATGGGCGGGACAGGCCCACCCCAGTAGCTAGTGGGGCATATACAAACACCCAGAAGCGGGTGACCTGGTACCTGCAGAGGGGCTAGGAGGGTCTGCTGACCAAGGTGGTAAGGCCAGTGGCTAAGGAGGCCATGCATATTATTCTAAGAAGACATATTTTTTCCTCTAAGACAATATGGAGTCAGTAAGGGTAGCATACTGACCCCAGCAGGCTGACCTAATGGACTCATCATTTACTGTTGCAGTCCCCCAGGGTGACTGTGATGTGACTGACCATGGCCCAGTGATGCCATCTCTCTCTCTCTCTCTCTCTCTCTCTCTCTCTCTCTCTCTCTCTCTCTCTCTCTCTCTCTCTCTGCCCCCCCCAGCTCTCCTAGGAGAGCTAAGGTCAGACCACACTTCATTAAACCTCACAGCATGCTTTGGCTGCTCTGAGCACTGACCTTGCTGGCCTCCTGTAGGGACAGATCTGGTTTTCCATTTTAGCATAGGGGTGGTGGCTGGAACATCTGGAATGTATTAGAGGTAAAGCCAGGGTGGAGCCTGGTAGCTCAACCCTGCCTGGTACCTCCTTCACACGGAACCTCCCCAAATCAGAGCTGATAACCCTCCCGTTCTCTCCCTTCTCTCAGATCTCTCATCCGCCCGGTTCACCCCGATGCCTGGCATTTGAAGACAGCCATCACTTGAGCATCTGCCGCTGATTTCTTACTGCGGCATAGGAGAATTTCTTCGGCGCGAGGAAGGAGTGTCTGTTGCTACTACTGTTTTTTTTTTCTCTCTTTGAGCCGGGCCTTGCCCCTTTCTGTGGCCATGATGGCCCAGTCCAAGGCCAACGGCTCACATTATGCACTGACGGCCATCGGCCTGGGGATGCTGGTTCTCGGGGTGATCATGGCCATGTGGAACTTGGTCCCTGGTTTCAGTGCTGCAGATAAGCCGACAGCCCAGGGCAACAAGACAGAGGGAGGCGGTGGCATCCTCAAGAGCAAGACTTTCTCAGTGGCCTATGTGCTGGTCGGTGCTGGCGTGCTGCTGCTGCTGCTGTCCATTTGCCTGAGCATCCGGGACAAGAGGAAGCTGCGGCAGAGTGAGGAACTGGCCCGTATCCAACAGCAGGCGGGGGCTGTGCCTCCCACGCAGGAGGAAGACAGGTGAGGCATGCCTGACTGCTCCGTCCAGCCTAGGGTAGGGACACACTTGCACACAGACTCACTGAGAAAGAACTCAGTCCCTTCCAGGAAGGGGCCTCGTACTGTTTTACAAATACCTCTGTGCTTACTTAGATGCAGGTTTCCCAAATCCCTGTGGCTTAGGTGGATTATAAGGTGTCCCACAGAAACTGGTGGGGCCAGCGGGGACCAGGGCGCTAGGTTGTTTGTTCGTCTCTCCTCCCCAGGTGCTGTGTGTGTCTACTTTGATCTGAAAAGGTCAAGGCACAATATCGCACTTGACCCAAAATATCGCGAGCGTATTTAAAAGAGATGATAGATGGGGGTTATGTGATGAAAGTTGGCATCTCTCTTAAGGTCCATTTCTGTGGCTGTGATTAAACACACTAGGAGGAAAGCAACTTAAGGGGAAAAGGACTTACTTAGTTCACAATTCCAGGTCACTGTCCATCATTTGGGGGGAGCCCAAGGAGGCGGGAGCTTGAAGCAGCTGGTCGCATCACCCCCACTGTCAATAGCGGAGAGCAACGAATCAGTGTGAGCGGACTTGCACGCAGTCCCTCCTTTTCATCCAGCCTTGGCCCCAGCCCATGAGATGCTACCACCCTTATTCAGGGCGTATCTCCCCACCTCTGCTGACATAATCACGACAGCACATGTGTGTTGCTGAAGATTCTTGTCCTGCCAGGTCCCACCGCCCTTCTCAGCCCCAAATAAACACACAGATGCTATATTAATTATAAAATCGTTGGCTGATAGCTAGGGCTTCTTATGGGCTAGCTCTGTCTTAATTATTATCCCATAACTACTAATCTGTTTCTACGTGACCTTATCTTACCAGAGAACACCTGCTCGTCCTATCCTCCCAGTCTCTAAGTGGCATCCTTTTCTCTGTCTGCCTTTCCCAGAATTTTCCTCATCTCCTAGTCCTGCCTATCTTCCTGCCTCTATGGCCAGTGTTTTATTCATCAACCAATAAGAGAAACATATATATTAAAAGGACATCCCCCATCACATGTGCACAGCACAGCACCTATACTAGGTAATCTTCTCATTGCTCTGACCGAATACACAGATTATTCCTTAAGGAAGGAAGGAAGGGTTTGTTCTGCCCCTCAGTTTGAGGCTAGAGTCCATCATGGAAGGGAAGATGTGGTTGTGGAAGCCTGAGGTGACTGGTTATATTATGTGGGGACCCAGGAAGCAGGGAGAGATAAAGGCTGGTGTTCAGTTCACTATCTCCCCCCCCCGTTTCATCCATGGATGGTGTTACTCACATTTAACCCAGGGTGGACCTTCCCTGCTCAGTTAAGCCTCTTTGGAAACTCCCTTGGCCTCTTCCTGCATATCTTTGGACTTGACCTGACCTGGGGCCACAGGGAACGAAGAAAGGACAAACACAAGTAAAGCTGGGACAGGGTGGGTGGTGCACTCAGATGGAGAGGCACCGGCAACAGCCAGGAAGCTCACCACGTTAGGAGTTCTCTGCAGAGGAGTAGCCTTAGACTGAAGTCGTCTGGGGTGGAAGCTGCAGTCAGCACTTTCTGCTCCTACTGGTCAACCCTAGACCAGGGAGAAGGCCTTGCCATTCCTATGAGTTTGGAGTATTAGCGTCCTTGACATGGCTGTGCTCATGTCAACAATACACATCGACTCGGGGCTTCATCCATCCCTTAAAACCGTCACAGATAGCCCAGAGATGTGTCTCCTAGGTGCATCCAAATCTCAGTATGACAATGAAGATGAACCCCTCCCACCACTGCAAAAGAGCCCTTTTGACAAACATACTGGCCAGAAAATAGACAAAGGTTACAAACAATGATTCCAGCCTCATTAATTTCATTAATCTGGGATACAAACAAAAAGACACTTGGTACTCCAAGGATCCTTTCTCACTATGTTAGCCAAGACGGGCGGCCTCTGGCATCAGAGAGCTGCAAGCACAGTGTGCTATGGACATGGCAGGGCCAGAGAAACGACTCAGTGGGTCAAAGAGCCAAGCCTGACAGCCTAAATTTGATCCTTGGAATCCACATGAAAACTGTCTCTGACCTTCATATGTGGACCATGACACAAGCATATGGCTATCCATGTACAAATAGAAGATAGACGGACAGATAGATGAAAGAAAATTAAAATAGGAGAGTGTAGAAACAACCTAATGGTCCATCAATCAAGTGGTCTCAGGACACACCTGTCCCTGCAGTTCTCCTGGAACTGCTGTGTCCTTTAATGTGGCCCAATTCCCACAGCACTGAGAGTGAAACATCATAGTGCACAAACCTTTGGGAAGGCCTCGGCACACCAGACACTGTGGGCTGGGCCAGAGAGGGCCAGTGTCAGACAGACAGTCAGGTGGCCACATTATTTAGTCACCGTGATTGCCCTGGGTGGAAAGATTAGGTTTTTTGTTTTGGTTTAGGAAATGCAGATGGAAGGATTTGCAATGTTTCTATTTTCTTCCCTTGGATTGTCTATATAGCAAGGAGGGAGGTTGCTTTGTCAGAAATACTGGCCTCGTTTTTGCCTTCCTTCCTTCCTTCCTTCCTTCCTTCCTTCCTTCCTTCCTTCCTTCCTTCCTTTCTTTCTTTCTTCTTTTTCTTTCCTTCTTTTCCCCTTGGCTTTTTGAGACATTATATTTTCCTGACTAGCCTGGAACTTTCTTTGTAAACAAGGATAGCCTCAAATTCACAGAGATCCAACTGCCTCTTCCTCCCAAGTACTGGAATGAAACCATACCATGGCCTCATTTTCTGGCCATGAAGATATGCATGCAGGTTAGGGGTGCACCACAGTGGTAGAGCACTTGCCTAGCATGGGTGAGGCCTAGGATCCCATTCCTACTACAGGAAATAACGTTTGGTTCACACCCAAGCAATACCACGTAGTAGTGTCCACTTACCCCCTAATCTGGGACCAGGTCCCTTGATCTTCCTGTTAGTTACCTGACAAAAGCAACTTCAGGAAGGAAGTGTTTGTTTGGGCTCAGAGTCTGTCATAGCAGGGAAACATGGTGGTGGCAGCGGGTCACATGGCATCCGCAGTCAGGAAGCAGAGATGGACCCCAGTGCCCATCTCAACTTCTTGTTAATCAGTTCAGGACCCCAGCCCATGGAATGGTGCTGCCCACATTTAGGATGGGTCTTCCCCCCTCAACTAACCCAGCCTGGAAATCCCTTAGGGGCTCCTCTCTCAGGTGCTTCTAGATCCTGCCTAGTTGACAGACCATTACAACCTTGGTGTATTCGTTCCCTCATCTGTAAAATGGCCATAGTAAAAGCCCTTATAGTGAAGGTAGAAATGGGAACTTGGTTCCTCTATGCTAAAATATTGACTGAGTGCTTCTAGAGCCCACGTGTGGTTTGCAGAGTCAGCACGTGCAGACCTAGTCCTCACGGGCAGCCCCCAGTCACTTTTCATGGCCTTTCAGTGACTCGAATGTGTGCTGACACTCTGTGCTTGTCATCCTGCAGCCAGGAGGAGGAGGAGGAGGAGGCTTCCTCACGGTACTACGTACCCAGCTACGAGGAAGTGATGAACACGGGCTACTCAGAAACCAGGGGGCAGGAGCAGAACCCGAGACTAAGCATCTCTCTCCCCTCCTATGAGTCACTGACGGGGCTTGATGAGACGACCCCCACGGGCACCAGGGCTGACACGGAGGCCAGCCCGGGGCATGCCCCCGACAGGCAAAACTCCAAGCTGGCCAAGCGCCTGAAGCCACTCAAAGTCCGAAGGATTAAATCTGAAAAACTTCACCTCAAAGACTTCAGGATCAACCTCCCAGACAAGAACACTCCTCCTCCCTCTATTGAGCCTTTGACTCCCCCGCCGCAGTATGATGAGGTCCAGGCAAAGGCCCCTGACGCCCGGCCTCCCGACTGAATGGCCCTTCTGACGTCACTCCCTCCTGTCTCACCCTCCACACCAACAGACTGCGCCAAAGCCACTTCAGCCCCAGACGAGGGGTCAGGGCACACTTAGCCACTGTGATGGGGATTCCGGGCAGAGGGAGTCACCAAGGATGATGGAGAGCATCAGAAGGATGCTGGGGACCTGAGATGCTCTGGACCACAGCAAGGTGTGCAGCCTTGGCAGCCCTCCACCTTCCTTCCCAACTAGGGATCGTTGGCAGCACGCTCCTCTGAGCTGGGGCAGGGTCCCTGGTGACCGGTTAGACCCAGGTGGTCTCCTTTCGCTTCCACCACGGTTGCTGTGTTTCTAAAGGAAACCGAGTTTTGTGCTTGCTTTCTTCACCGGAGCTTTGGACAGGCGGAGAAATTGGCTCAGCACTGGCCAAAAGGACACAGAACTGCCTTGTGAATAAGATGACGACTGTGTAGGGGTGAGTGTCGGGGAGGCCCCTAGGGGCTCCTGGAACTGTCGGTTCTTTGAGGGTCTAAGGCCTGATGACCTTCAGCGTGAGACACATGAGGTGGTTGTCTGATTCAGTACACTGCTCTCCTGTGGGTATTGGAAGGCAGGAGAGGAAAAGTCGCTGTTCTGTGTCTCCTCAAACGCCATGTGGCTGGGCATTTTATAATAAAGTGTTTTGTATGTGGCACGCCTGACCATTGAGTCATTTTAGCAGGATGATAGCAATAGCAATAATAACAGCTAGTCAATATGGTCACTTAATTCACAGGGAGCTGTGTTCTGTGGACCAGAGGTGTTATCCCATATCACCTGTACCCACGTCTGGTGCCCTGTGATTCTGCGGATAGCTCACAGGCTTGGGTCCCCTCAGGTACTCATATTGTACCACTAACAAGTAGTTCTGAGCTTACACTGGCTGCTCCAGAATCTGAGTTCTTAGTCTCTCTGCCGAGGAACTTGGTAAAAGAACGTTCATCAGACCACTGGGAGGAGACCGGAGGCTGCCCTGTCAACCCACAGGTCACACAGAAGGCACACAGAAGCTTAGGCCCCCACCCCCACCCCAGGCAGCCAGGGAGGAGTTCAGTCTGTCACCTATCCCCAGCACTGACTGGAGGTAGATGTGTCCTCTAGGAGGGCACAGTGTCTACAGTCAGTACACACCACTTTGAGACACCCCAGGGTTCATACACTATTAAGAAAGGGAACAGAAACCTTAGGGTCCAGATCCTGGCTCTGGAGGGAAGCCTGAAAGAGAGATCTGAATCCAAAAGGCTCCTTCTGTTACGGGTGGCATGGAGCAGACTGCTGGGAGCGACAGGCACCTTAAAGTGTGCTTGGGCTCTGAATGTTTCACAGCAAGCTCCAGGAAGCTAGAAGGGAAATCACAGGCTTAGCCCAAAGCCAGACAGGATGACATTAAAAGGCTCACATCAATGTGAAAGACTGAGCTAGGGATGTGGTTCGGAGGGTAGTGGGCTTGCCTCACATGCAGGAACCAGGTTGGCAACACCAGTAATCCTGACAATCAGGAGCTGGAGGCAGGAGGATCAAGAAGTCAAGGTCATCGTCTGTGAGCTCAAGGCTAGCCTGAGCTACATGAGATCCTGTCTCAAAACACAGGGTGTGTAAGACAGTGTGTGTGTGTGTGTGTGAGAGAGAGAGAGAGAGAGAGGGAGGGAGGGAGGGAGGGAGGGAGAGAGAAACAAGAGGATAGAGAGAGACGGAAAGAGGAGGGATTTTAGGGATTTTTACTTTTTATTTTTTTTAAAAGAAATTAGGGGTGAAGGAAGATTGTAAGGGTAAAAACAAAAGAAAAGTCTTGCTCTCTTTCATTTCTTCTTGTCATTTTTTTTCTTTGGGTACTAAGGATTTAATACACACACACACCACCACCACCACAATCACCATTACCACCACCACCCCAAACCTGGCATATGGTGGACAAGGCTGTGCCTTTGAACCCCACCCCAGCCCTCTTCCTGTTACATTTTTGTTCTTAAGGCAAATAAAAGAAGGTAGAGATCAGGGACAAAACTCAAGAAGTCATCCAGGCATTCTTGGGCCTGAGTGGGCTCAGGGCTGTGGAACAGCAGAGAGAGAATCTCATCCGATGAGCATTAAAACTCATGCAGCTGTGTCCCCGACCCATGATAGGGGAACCTCAGCAGTCTTGTGGGTGCCAAGTGGCCTCCATACTTTCAAGTTACAGCTAAAGGAACTTGAGGAAACCAGTGAGAGGCTGAGCTGGGTGAGCCTCCTTCGCGCCGGGACGTTGGTCCCCGACTCCGAGAGTGGAGAATGGGAGCCGAGCACCAGCACGCATGCCACTGTCGCCCTGGGCTTTCTGAGAGCTGCTGCGATGAGACCAGTGGACTGCTGTGACATCCCCAGCACCGAGTGCCATAGCCTGAACTTCAAGGCGCTTTATGACGCTAATTATAAAACATACGTTTACTTGTGCACGTGTGCACGCATAACCGTGTGTGCTGGAGAGTGTGTGTGCGTGCTCGCACATCACAGTGAACATGTGGAAGTGAGAAGAAATTTCTCCTTTCATGCTGTGGTGAAGGGTTTAAATTCAGACTGTCAGGCAGGCAGGAACTCCCTGCTCCCCCAGGGACAAGGAAAAGGACTGAGGGTCCACAGAGGTGGTCTCCTTCTGCAGCAAGCTTCATTCTCTCTACAGAGCAGCCTCCCCTGCTCCCCCCACCTTGGCCTTCAGGACAGTCCCCCGGAGACGCCTGTCTCTGAGATCCTAGTGCCATCATCCAGTCCATCTTGGGTTAGAACGAGGGGGTCCATACCTGTAAGTTATTGCTCATACCCACCATGGCAATGTGTGTGCCTATACACAAACAACATAATAGACAAAAAAATTCTTTTTTTTAAAAAGGAAGAAAAAAACTGATATCCTTAGAGATCAGCCTGAGTGTATCACTTAAGAGTTTTCTTTTTCTTTTTTTAAGTAGCCTTTACAAAGGTGATTTTTCCATCCCTCCCCCATCCTAGACTTGCCTAATTCCCTGTAGCATCCTAAGAACGTACTTCTGCTCTCTCTCTCTCTCTCTCTCTCTCTCTCTCTCTCTCTCTCTCTCTCTCTCTGTGTCTGTCCCATCCTGCCTTTAACATAACTTTACAATGTTGCCACAACCTGGAATTTTTTTAACGCTCTATAAAAAGATATGGGAACGATAATGGCCAGTGTGCCTACAAAGTCAGATACATTCTGGGAATTTGTAGATTTTTTTAGCTGCATTCTTGGAGTCGACAGAAAGTATGGAACAAAATAAAATGACCAGAAGAAAACCATGGCGTGGCTTTCCTGGGTTGTAAATCTTCTCAGGAAGAAGAAAGAAAGGAAACGTCAGATAAAACGGTATGGTGCCCGGAGATAAGCCTCGGCACTATGGAGAATTCAGGAACTGCGTGGGACTTCAGAACCAGACAAACGTCTGTTCTTCGTATCTGTCTTTGTCGTATCTGAATGAACCCCTGGTGACTGTGTCCAGCCCAATCAAGTCACCAGCATCCGTGAGAAAAATGATATGCTGAGGCACCTGCAAACTTTTACTTCTTGAATAAAATCTGATAAGCCATGTGGACAGTGTTTGCATGGAAATGAGGGAGGATTTGACATAAGCCAGTGCATCAAGGTACCTGCGACATACAATTTTCTGCCTCTTTCAAGATTAAATGAGGGAGAGCGAGAGCTGCATTTTCCTATTTCTGATAAATTTCTTGTTTTCAAAATCAGATCCCAAGTACTAGTCCGCAAGCTATTTTGTTGGTGATTTTTTTTTTTTAGATATGGGGAGCACAACCTGCAAGCCTTTGCCAAGTGTAAATTCGTTCAGCATCAGAATACACATAAAGGCAGCAGAGAAATGGTTACGGAAACACACGTCTTGGGGGGGGATGCTGTGGGAGGAAGGGATCGTTTTAAAGACTTTAAAGGTAATGCTGAGGTGAACAACATGGCTCAGCAGGTGAGAGGGATTGGAGTGAAAGCCTAATGACTTGAGTTCCATCCCTGACTCCTGCACACTCTCCTCTGACCTCAACTCATGTGCAATAGCAAACACACACACATGCATGTGTGCACTTTGAGTAAGTGCATAAATGTACTAAGAAAAAAACTTTTAACCGTGATATGGGGACGGTGAGATGGTTCAGCTTGTAAAGGTGACCTGAGTTCAATCCCCAGTGTCCTAGTTTGGGTTACTATTGCAGGGATGAATCACCATGATATAAAAGGAAGTTGGGGAGGAAAGGGTTTATATTGTAGCCCATCACTGAAGGAAGTCAGAACAGGAACTCAAACAGGCAGGAACCTGGAGACAGGAGCCGATGCAGAGGCCAGGAAGGGTTACTGGTTTAGTTCCCATGACTTGCCTACCCTGCCTTCTTATAGAACCCAGGACCAGCAGCCCAGGGATGGCTCCACCCACAATGGGCTGGACCCTCCTGCATTGCTCACTAATTAAGAAAATGCCCTACAGGCCCATCTTATGGAGGCGTGTTTTTCAGTTGGAGTTTCTTCCTATTACATGAATACAGCCTGTGTCAAGTTGACATAAAATTAGCCAGCTCACCTGGTGTCCACATAGGTTGTCCTCTGAACTCCATATGCAAGCTGTGGCATGTGCCCTCGCCCATGCAGCTCATGCAACAGACAATAATTAACTATTTTTAAAAGATAACGCTGCCAATTAAAAACATCACTTCATAAATCAAAAGGCCAAAAAAGCAACCCACAACTGCAACCATAAATTTTAAGATTTGATTTTTTATAGTTATTTTCCAAGTTAAAAAAATCCTAGGACTTAAAATGTTTCCACTTGCTGAAAGCAGTAAAAATTGCCCATTAATCTTTTCCTTAAGCCAATAATAGAAAGGTCTCAAGAGGCCAAGTCAGAGCTAGAAATAGGACCAAAGTAGAAGCTGGGGAGGAACGTCAGTGGCTACATTCCATAAATGTGCTGAAGACAGGCTGTCCCATGGGTCTTCTTTATGGAGACCGGGCTACTAGACATGTACTTTCCTCCTCTGAGACAGGATCTCATATATCCCAGGCTGGCCTTGAACCTGCTAAGTAGCTGAGGGTGACCTTGAATTTCTGATCCACCAGCCTCCACCTCATGAGTGCTGGCTGGGGTTACAGACATAGAATGCCACCTTACTCGGTTATGCCATGCCAGGGATCAAACCCAGGTTTTGATGCATGCTACGTGAGCACTCTTCCCACGGAATCACACCCACCCCCTTCCCCCCGCAACCCTCCCAACCCCCCCACTACCCCACCCCCACAGCAGATGAGTACATTTGTATACACCCTTCATTGAGTAAACATTGAACTAATTGAATACAACCTTATCTCCACTGAGTGTTTCACACTGACCTTGTCACATTGAGGGTTGAATGACACTAACATGAGCGTGTCCACTGAAGGATGGCCAGGAGTATCCTCTGCCTCTACTCACAAGATACCAAGAACACCTTTCAAGTAGGCTGCTATTGTTGGGATCTGAGCTGTCCCCAGAGGTTTATAGAAAGGCTTAGTCACCGGACTGTGGCACCACTGGAAGATGGCGGACTCTTTAAAAGACTAGAGCCTAGCTGAAGGACATCAGGTCACTGGGGTGTCATGGTTTGGATTTAAAACCCCTTAGCCGGGCGGTGGTGGCG